GGCGCCCGCCACAACGCCTGGCTGTTTTTTCTTGGTTGCAGCCGTCATTGTTGTTTGGTGGGTCTGGGCTGGGGATTCGAACCCGCCACCTTAGGTGTACGTGGCTGGTGCCTTAGCCGGTTGAGCTATAGGCGCCGAGCCGGAAAATATTTTCTAAAATACAGATTTAAAAACCAGTCCATGGCTCAGTGCCTGTTGCTCAGTGGTTAGGGAGCCCACCACATACACCGAGGCTGATGAGTTCGAACCCAGCCTGGGCCTGCTAAACAACAATGACAACTACAACAAAACTCCAGTAGGGCATTGTGGCAGTGCCTGTAGTCCCAGATACTTGGGAGGCTGAGGCAAGAGAATGGCTTGAGCCCAAGATTTTGAGGTTGCTGTGATGTCACAGCATTCTACCAAGGGTGACATAGTAAGACTCTGTCTCAAAAAACATAAAATAAAATAAATAAAACCAATCCAGTCTAACAACCATTTATACAGCATTTATATCATATTAGGTATTATAAGTAACCTAGAGATGACTTGAAGTATATGGGAGGATGGGCATCAGTTATCAGCAAATACTACACCAATTTATATCAGGGACTTGCCCATCCTCAGATTTGTGTATCTGCAGGGTCCTGGAACCAGTCCCCCAGGACACCAAGGCCTGGCTGTAAGTAGACAGCAGACTGAAGGCAGCAAGACAAGGGCAGCAAGATCCAGGGAAAAAGGACTTCCAGCTGGAGAGGGAGAGAGGGCAGCAGGTCGCTATGGTGCTGAACAGCTTGCTGTGTGTCAAGCGTGGTGCTGCACACTTTCTGCATGAAAAAGGCAGGCTAGGGAGGAAGGGTGATGCTGTGCTTCTTTAAGCTGGAGCCCCTTCCAGCACCTCAGAACAGATCCATCAGCTCTGTCAATGTGAAAGGAGGTTGTGGGCAAAGGAGGGGAGGTCACATTTTCTATCCTGTCCCACTCTCTAAAAACCAAGTTCTCATGATAAAAACTACTCTCACTTTCCTCTCCTGGCTCCTCCAAACTTGTCATCAGAGCAGGGTATGCCCAAAGCCACAGGCTGGTTTTGTCTGCAAAGCAGAAAGTGTGACAGTCCCCTCTTCACGGTCAAATGTGTCAACTTTCACATGGAACGCTCTCTTCATGTCAGCCTTAGAGATGTGTTACTTTGAAAGAATATATCAAGGCACCTACGAAATCCCCTCCCATGCTCAAGTGACTGGTCAGTGGCTGTCCAAACCGGAGCGCTATAGAGGATTCATTTTATACAGATGCATAAAACTTCCCCAAAGCTATCCTGAATATGTGTAATTAATGCAAGACAAGACACATAATTGATGTGACCTGGCTTTTACAAAGCACAAAGATGAATCAGAAAACTTCATCTCAATTTCAGTTTGTAACCTGAACATTGTGTGGGGAAATAGCCTCACCTCATGGCTCCCCAATAAATTTTATACATTTTGAACAGCTGCTGCTAAGCAGCTATGTTTCCAGATTTTCAGAGCAACTTTGAAACCTGAGTTTGGTGAAGCATTGTTTGCTTAAATATGCAGCTGATCAAAGATAGTATTTTGACTTCCTTTCCAAATCTGCCTATAAGAAGAGATTAGCATCAGTTCACAGACACAGGAACTCTCTGGGCTCTTTAATTCCTAACTAGTGCTGGTGAAGGTATCTGTGTGCTTCAAAGGAGAACGACTTTTAAAA